GAGAGAGAGAGAGAGAGAGAGAGAGAGAGAGAGAGAGAGAGAGAGAGAGAGAGAGAGAGAGAGAGAGAGAGAGACGCGTATATATTTTCGCGCTTTGGGCTTCCGTTGCCACGATCTGGACACATGAAAACGACCATCGAACATGCATGACAGAGAGAGGGAGGGAGGGGGGGAGAGAGAGAGAGAGAGATAGAGAGAGAGAGAGAGGAGACCGCTGCATCGCGGCCGGATGTGACTGCGCAGGTACACACACACACACACACACAGACACGTATATATTTTCGCGCTTCGTGCTCCCGTTACCACGCTGGACACATCAAAACGGCCACCGAACACGCATGACACCAAGAGAGAGAGAAAGAGAGAGAGAGAGAGAGAGAGAGAGAGAGCGCTGCATCGCCGCGAGATGTGACTGCGCAGGTATACACAGACAGAGAGAGAGAGAGAGGCACAGAGAGAGAGAGGGAGGGGGGGAGAGAGAGAGAGAGAGAGAGAGAGAGAGAGAGAGAGAGAGAGAGAGAGAGAGAGACATGAAAGAAAAATGAGACGCCGGCGGGTGTTGCTTTTACTGCCATTTATTCTTGATATTAACAAAGTTTTGTTTTAGAGTTCATATCTGGCTTATTATAGATTTAGGAAGCCTACTGTTTTAAAGGGAGTGTTGCCCATTTTTTAACTAGATAAGAGAGGTAGACAGAATTTGACTCTTGTAAAGTCAAAAATCGTTTTTTGATCTCGTATCCTACGTAGCATACCGTTCGTGTTCAGTCGGCGAACGCGAACGCAAATGACGGAACGCGAACGTGTTCGAAAATCGACCGAACGAGAATATTTTTTTTTTAAATATATATAGGAGGAGGAAGAAGAGGAGAAAGGAGGAGAAAGGAGGAAGAAGAAGAAGAGGAAGGGGAGGTCTGGGAGGACGAGGAGGAGGTCGACGAGGTGAAGGTGGAGGAAGAAGAAGACCAGGAGAGGGAGGAAGGCAGGGAGGAGGACTTCAATTTGGCGATGGAGGAGGAAGAAGACGAGGAGGTGGTGGACAAGGTGGAGGAGGAGGAAGAAGACGAGGAGGAGATGGAGGGGGAGGAGGAGGAAGAAGAAGAAGAATCTTGTTCTTTCTCCTTCGCCATATCGAAGTCCTCCTCCTTGCCTTCCTCCCTTTCCTGAGTCTCTTCATCTTCTTCTTCCTCCTCCTCTCTTCTTCTTCGTCGTCCTCCACTGTATGTACATCCTCCTCATCGTCTTCCTCCTCCCCCTTCAGGGCCTCCATGTTGTTCCCCTCCCCCTCGTCCTCCTCGTCCTAAGCCAAACGTGTGGCTGCCACATCAGCACGCGCGACTTTTGTACCAAAAAAGACAAAAAAGCTGCACGCGCAGACTTGGCAGTCGCGCGTTCGTTTTAGGAGGAGGAGGACGATGACGAGGTGGACGGGGACGAGGGCGAGGCGAAGTACTACGATATGGTAGCGGAGGAAGAAAAAGAAAAGGTCAAGGAGGAGGAAAAGGAGGAGGTGGAGGAGGTGGAGGAGGTTGATGAGGTGGAAAAGGAAGAAGAGGAGGAGGAGAAGGTGGAGGAGGTCGACAGGTGGAGGAGGAAGAAGACAAGGAGGAGGAGGAGGGCGTTGGACACGTACCAGGGCGATGGTGTTCTCCCTGCGACGGCTGCATGGTCTGGAGCAGCAAGTTTGGTTGTCCTGGCCGGTTTGAACTTAAACACGGGCCCCGACTGCCCCCTCCCGCCAGGCCAACTGCCCAACCCCGCCCCGAGGAGCCCCACCTGCCCCCCCAGACCCTTCCCCAACCAGGTAACGCCTGTTGGGGGAACGTGTTCGTCGGCCTCGGAAAGGCGTTCGTGCGAATGTGTTCGCCTTCTGATTGGGCGAATGGGCGAACGTGCTCGGACGTTCGGTGTGCTGCATAGCTCATATTTAGTTGAGTATAAATTATGAAAAACATTTTTCTCTAGAAAGAGATGCTGCCGAAGTTTTCGCTTATCTTCTGATAACATTTAGAGATGAATCTAGACTTAGTTTTGTGAGAAGTGAGTGAGATGTGATATGGGGGGTTATTCTCCATACACTTAAATATTAGATTTGGGAACTGGCTTGTGTTGTGTTACAGACGCTCTTTGATTACCTCGATTCAAGATCAGCCGATCTTACAAGGATCGTCTTTTGTTATCGGTTGATAACAGGTCGGTTTATGAGTCAACTCAGACTCATTCTCACAGCTCAAAGGCCTTCGGCCCGGTGCTTTGTTGTGTTTCTTGGGATTTTCACTCGGATTTCTTTCAATGGTCATTTTAAAGAACCGAGTGCCTTTTATGGAAAGTTGGACAATGGTTGGGGTTGTTCATGTAAGGTGGGGTGTGAGTTCTCGGGAATGGTGAAGTTGACCGCATTGGTGTCCGACAGTGTGGCGCTTTGTGGGTTTGTATGTTTCATGCATGTATATAATATATAGAATTTAATAATGTATTGATTATATGATATATGTATTCTCTATGCATTCTTCTATAAATATATATTTTTTATGTTTCTTAATGAATTGAACGAGTATTAGAATAAAAATCTATTCTTCTATTTCGATTATCATATTCCATGAATTAAGAGAATTTATTTGGAGCTTAATGTACAAGCCACACCTTGTAGGCAGTGAGAATGACAACCATATGTCGCATGATCTATAAACCTGACGGGCTATCTTTGACCCTGTCTATTCTATATCGAGTTTCGATGAATATGTGGGTGTTGGGATGTTTGTTTGTGTATTTACTAATTGACCTTGTTGATTTTGCTTGTTAAGTTTTATAGTTGGACGATGATGTCTGTGGTGATTATCAAAGTCAAACCCCTTGACCTTGTCCAAGGCCTCCGAAGATGGAGCCTTGTTCTTAGGGTCAAAGGTGTTTGGCTGCCAGAAAGGGCCGAAGCCCGCCTACCACTGCAGAGTGCGGAGGAGGGTAGGTTTTGCAATCACATTCGCGGTTATCTATCGTCCAGAGATCAACCTCTCAAGACGCCTGTCAGCCGACTCTTTGAGTGTCGAAGGGACACTCAAAATCACCGAGGATCGTGTGGTCATAGGTACTGCATAGTACATCATCCTCACGACTGCTTGTGGATTCATGCATTGCTAGCTGATATGACAAAGCCTATGTCGCCGCGATTTTATTCAGAGTCTCGCAATTGACGCCCGTCCATTTACTATTGTCAAAAAGGTTATCGGTTGTGTGTGAAAAAGGGATTAGACGTGATTTACAAGTGAAGCTTGGTTTTATTTTTGGTGAAGTGTATCAAGTGGTTAGATGGACTGTCCTAGTCAATCGGTGCAAAGTCGCGCTTGGGAGTTGTTGGCTTGTGTACAAGTCCGATTAAGGAGTTCGACTGCGCGTACCCCCTACACTACAATGTACGAGGAACGCCCTCGGTTGAGCCACCTCTGCGATTGCATTCGAGCAACTTTCGCACGTGGTTCGGTAGCTTGGTGGGGATACGTTCAAGGGTGGTAACACCACACCCTCTTGGGCAGAGGTAAGTTGTGCCTCGCGTGGCCCCTATCCTGTCGTAGGGGCTCACGAGAGGTGTGGTTGGCACACTCGGCTGAAGCGACGAAAGCTCCACTGCGATAAAAGTCCTGCAAAAACCTGCATGATGTGGCCGGGGGGGTCCCCTTGCAGGACCGATGCGCACAACAGTGTGGCCTTATTGTTCATTCCCAACGACCATTCTCAGTCCTTTGGGTTCCACGTCAGATCCCACAGCCTATGCGCTAGCTGGAACGGTCGATATTGTCCCTCTGCGCCTTTTCCTCCTTTGCTAACTGCCACAGTCTCCACTACGTGCCTTACCAGGGTCAATTCCCCCATCCCTTGATTCCTACTTCCCGTAAAGGCCCCCCCAAACCTTCATGTGCTAGTCTTGGCGCTACCCTCCATTCTGTGACTTCTACCTTGTTGACCTACACAACCCGCTCCACCCTACATACCCTGTTTAGCTTTGGACTTCCTTTGATCATCACCCACTCCCCTACCATTATCCGATCTTTTTTCAATAGCTGCACCAATTGGGGGGGCGATGGCTGCCCTCATTGCTATCCGTTGCCGCCTCCTCGTTCGTCTTTGCAAGACTGCCTCCAACTTGCTGTTTGTGCGCCAATCCTTTCTGCCTTCGTTCCAAAGGTGTGCATATCGCTGAGCTATCCAATAAACATAGATCCACAAGCTCACCCATAAACATATTTGGAGTGCGTAGGCTAGGTAGGTTTGGGTGACTTGGTGCAAGGTGTCTCCCTCTATAAGCAACAAGGCCCAAATGAGATGCCGAATTTGCAGCGCAATAATTTGCCACCGCGGATCCAAAAGATCCAGGCCTCCAAATCGCCTTGGTTGGATTAGTTTCGTCCATGCAACCTTGGGAATAATGTCTTCCACCTTAGCGTTATTGGACCACAAGTGCGCATGAACAACCTTGTTGATATGTCTAAATGCCCTTTTACGTGGCATGTGTACAACCCCCGCGTACTACAGTGTGGCCAAGATGAGAGTTCTTGATGACTAGGGATTTTTCGAAGAGGCCCATGCTCCCCCTTGCGCTCCACGCCTTAAGCCGAGTCACCACCGCCGTGGCACACATTGCCATATGCTCTATTCCTCCATGACTGAGAGAAGGTTAACGGAGACCCTAATTTTCAGACCACTTGCCATGCGATTTACATGGAAACCGAAGGGTCATTTTAATCAAACTTGCCACCAATTCGTAGAGTGGAGACTATACGAAATAACTGCAAAACAAAATCCAAAAAATAAAAATAAAAAACATATAAAACAGCAAGGCAAAAGTGCAGTTTCATGAAATTTCCCCAACATCTCAATTTTAGAAATCTTAAACCACCAGTACCTTCCCCAGTGTTGGGAAAATACGAGATGCTGGCCAGTACCCGAAGTTTTCAGGGGTCGGACAGAGGGTCGGCAATGTCCCAAAAGTCGTATTTTTTTTTTTGCCCGTGCACGAAAGGGAAAGGAAAAAAAACGGGCCTTTGTACTGCAATGATGTCGTGCAGGGATGTTTAGGAGACCGTGCTCACAGTCTTGCATGCATCTTACAGCAAAGACGGTCACGTTCTCAAACTTGTTGTTTTCTTTTTTTCTTTTGTATTTGTTTGTTATGAGTACCCTGCCAACGAGGCAGGGCGGAATCCGTGATCTGCTCTAGTATTGTTTCCTCAGATGATTGTAACACTGATGTACCCAGCCGTTTTCAAGGCCGAATCCATATTTTTGTTTTTTTTTTCTTGTTTTCATTTTCTGGATTCTGACAATCTGAATCAGTGATATGCTCGAGCTGTGTTTCCTCAGAGGATTTTAACCCTGACACACTGGCACTTACGGGAATGTATCTTGCCATTTTCACGGCCGAATCCATGTTTCTGTCTTTTTTTTTTTTTTTCGAGTTTCTGAAATCTGACAACCTGGCCACGGGGTTGAGATGCCCTCACTGAGGGCACACTCACACTTACACTTCCGATAATGTATACAACTGCAATCACGCCTAGAGCTTTGTTTTTTTTTGTTTTTTTTTTTTGCTCTTCCCGTGAGAGTACCATAAAGAAATGGAGTGGGACCCAGGCTCGGCAAAACTCGGAGCGCAGTGAAAATCAGGGTCGGCAAAAAAAGGCTCGGGCGTACTGCTGGTTTAAGAGACGAAATTCCAATTTTCCAAATGACACAAAATTTGGCACACACCAACATTGAACCAAAACAAGAACAGGCCAAAAAAAAAAAAAAAACATAAAATTTGGCCTCGAAACCCTAATTTCAGTTTTGGACTCGTTACCCAGGGCCTGAAAATGGGGGTCCCTGTTAACCATTTGTGCCACTAGAAATGGCATCCTCTCCTCACCTGTCACGGTTGGGACATCCCATTCCCATGGGGGCTCTGCCTTTGGTGGAAGAATGACCCTCGATTTCAACCAGTTGACCTGCGTTCCCGAATACCTGCAAAAGGTTGGCAGGTCTTCTTTTAGTATATGTAGCTGCTGGGTGGTTGGGGGGATCATCGCTCCCGTGTCGTCTAGGAAAGTCGTGGATCTCAGCTAAGCTGCTGGCTCTGCCGTCAAGCCCCTGATCCTGTCGTCCTCTCTCAATGGCCCATGTAGAGATTCGATATAGATGACATAGAGGGTTGGGGACATCTAACATCCTTGCCTCACAAATCGAGTGACAACAAGCTTTTATCTGACCCAATCTTCCCAAAAGCACAATACCATCGATCGAAATTCCTCTCTGGAACACCCATGCCGGGATTGACCTGGGGGGTTGGCCCAACTCCATTCTCCCTACGGAAAAGGTTGCCATCAGCGCATAGTGGTCCGAAGTAGCCATTGTGCTGACATGTACTTGTTCAATTCTTTCGTTGAGACACACCGAAGCCATATCATGTCTGTTCTGCTCCTTGTAGTAGTTGCATTTTCCCAGAAAGTGTAAGCCTTCTCTTGCGGGCGTGGCCCTAAAGGATTCGGTGTAGGCAAGGCTTGTCATTCCATGCATCAATGGTAGCGAGTCCGCATCCGTACTGCATCAAGCCTTGGATCCACTATCGAATTGAAGTCGCCTTCAATGACGATGTTACCCACATTTGGCACCAATGCCCGAAGTCGCTCCCATATCCATCTGCACTCCCCTCCCTCGGACGGTGCATAAC